TCTCTCGTTGTTGTTTTTACAGTGAGATAATGACTTGAGCACCTCACCTCTTTGGTATATTGACCATGAAGGGCGTGAGTGACCGGTCGGTGAAGTAGAGCACTTTGGTGCAGGTGCTGCTGACGGACGGAGAACTCTGGGAGTGAGGCAACGCTGCAATCAGAGACTCTGGTTAGAACATTCGATTGGATCCAAACTAGTCCTCCTTTCGTTTACTCAGAACGTCTCAGGGGGCTGAAGCCACCGGAGGTCGCAGCGCCTCCATCAGCCTTGCCAAACACTGTGTCCACAGAGCATGGCTTATGATCACCACGAGGTCAGGAGATGCCTTGGGCATGGACACCATCCTGGGAACCTCATTCCCCATGCATTCCAGGGATTTCTGGCAGAGGCATACCTGCTCTGACAGCGCTGTTGCTCAAGATCAAGAGGTCAGAATACTGCCTGGCCAGATTTCAGGGGACTCAGAGTAGACACCCGGCAGGACCTACAAACTGCCTACATTCAGATTTTGGAATAAGAATACCCACATGATTTATGGTTTAAAAAAAAAAAAAAGGAAGAAAACCCAGAGACAGAGTACTTCAGTCTACAAAGTACAAGACTTTCCACATGGACTGTTCTGTCCTGTGTTTGTTTTTTTTTTTCTTTTAGACAAAGTCTCACTATGTAGCTCTGGCCTAGAACTCATGATATAGACCAAACTGGCCTTGAACTCACAGAGATCTACCTGCAGTAGAGTGCCTTCACCCACTGAGCCAGCTCGCCAGCCCCTAAAAATATGTCTTTTGGGGGAAAAAACTTAAAATATTCTACTACATGATGTAGATGATTCTGGTAACATCCATCCAGTTACCAAACAGGATCTGTACTAATAACCAATATGGTGAAAACAATCAGAACAAACAAATCAAACACAAATAATTCCACTATGCTTCTGAACTTTGTGCAATGTCAACCTCCACCTTCTAAAACACAACTTGGAGTCAACAGCTGTCAGAGAGAAAGGAAGAGGAGGAGGAGGGGGGGGAGGAAGAGGAAGCAGGAGGAATTCTAGGAAAAAATATGCATGCCAAACCCCAAACGCCTTCATAAGAAAGGAACTTTGGACTTTGCTATTTTTATTATTACTTTGCCAAACAGACTTTGTTATTAAGCCTCTCTATTTATATGAAGATATATGTAAATTTTGAATGTACAAAAACGTTAAAATACATTAAAGTACCAGGAAATATGTGTTAAAATAAGAGTTGGGGGACTGGAGAGGTGGCTCGGTGGTTAAGAGCACTTGGCCACTCTTGCAGAGGACCCAGGTTCCCATAGCCCACATGGTCACTCATACCCTTATTCCTGCTCCAGGGGTTCTGATGCCCTCTTCTGGCCTCCAGAGGCACTGCACCCATATGGTATGCATTGATGCAGGCAAACAGACATAAAATATAGAGAAAGGCATAGTGGTGTGCACCTTTAATTCCAGCACTTGGGAGGCAGAGACTGGCAGACCTCTGTGAGTTCAAGACAGCCAGGGCTACACAGTGAGTCCCTGTCTCAAGCAACAACAAAAATGGCACTAGAAGATTAAAGACCCATTAAAACAGAATAAAAGTGAGTTTTGAGCCATGCCTCATGCAAATCCAAATAAATAATAAGCCTAAACTTAAAAGCTAAATATTGCTGGGCTCAGTAGCATATACATTTAATCCCAGCAGGCAGTGGCAGGTGCATTTCTCTGAGTTTGAGGTCTGGTTTATATAGCAAGTTTTAGGACAGCCAGGGCTACATAGTGAGACCCTGTCTTCAAACAAACAAACAAACAAACAAACAAACAAACAAACAAACATCTTTCATGTCATTCTCTCCATTTTAAGCAGGTTAAAGTGCTTTCTTAAGTGTCGTGGAGACTGTGGAGTGGAGCAGCCATGTCTTGTAATCCTTTTAGTTCCCTCCTTAAGCTTCTAGATCCCTAGCATGTCCCAGTCCCAAAGCAGAGGCTGGCAAAGGACTCAGTTCCTAAATTTTGCTATAAAAAATTCCTTTAGAACCTTCTAACTTACTAATCTCAGTGACCCCTGGAAAGTCTTCAGATGTCAGTTCTGTCCTTTGTCCTGCCAGTTGCTGCTGGAGCTCTGCTATATTCCAGCTCTCCCTGGTAGGAGTGGCTGGCAGTAAAAGGACTTGATCAGTGGCTGGAGAGATGGCTCAGTGGTAAGAGCACTTTACTGCTCTTGCAGAGGACATGGGTTTGGTTCCCAGAACCCACATGGCAGCTGACAACTGCCTATAACTCCAGTTCCAGGAAATGCATAGCCTCTTCTGACCTCCATGGGCAAAAAGCATTCATGTGGTATACAGACATACATGTAGGCAAAACACCTGCATACATTAACAAACAAAAGACCTGGCCAAATGTTATGTGCTTATTTTTTTTCTCTTGTAGACAGGGTCTCAGGCAGTCCAGGCTGGCCTCCAACTTGCTATACAGTCAAAGAAGACCCTAAACGTCTGATTCTCCTGCCTCTACCTCTCCAGGCCTGGGATTACAGGCATGCACCACCTCATCCAGTTTATGCAATGGTAGGGAATCAAACCCATGGCCTCAGGCATGCTAGGCAAGCATTCGACCAAGTGAGCCACATCCTCAGCCCAGTTTTTTGTTTCACTCCAAAGTTATATTTTCCCACCAAACTAGGTATCTTTCAATTACTATGATGCTGGCCACAATCTACCCAGGCTAGCATCAGAATCATCATCCTCCTGCCTCAGCTTCCTGAGTGGCATTATGGGTGTGTGTGGCAACAGGTTTAGCTATTCAAAAGCGGTTTCGGTCCTATTCTTAGTCTACTCCTCCAGTGATTCCAATTGCACACATCCTGGTCTGATGTCTGATCCACTCTGCTTGAGTTGTGTTTCTTTTCTGTCCCTTTATGTTTTCTCTTTATGTTTAAATTTTGCTAATTTCTATCATCATATTTTTAAGTTTGTGGATTCCTTATGTGGCTGTGTTGAGTCTACTGAGGCCTATGCTGGAGAACATCTTCATATTTATCTGTATTTTTTTTTTTTTTTGGTTTTTCGAGACAGGGTTTCTCTGTGTAGCTTTGTGCCTTTCCTGGAACTCACTTGGT